TCCGCTGGGTTTGCGTTGGGTTTCACAGCATGACAATTGGGTTTGGCTTGACATTGGGGTTCGATGTCGCCAGAGTTGGGGTTCGGCCTCGAGTTCGTCGAGGTTGAGGCTGGGGTTGAGATTCGAAGTTGCTTGGGTTTTGATTGGGTGTTTTGGTCACTCAGATTTGAGATTCAAGGTCACTGGGTTGGATTTCAAGCTTGAGGTCAGGTCATGCATGCTGGGTTAAAGATTTTCGAAGCTGAATAGAAGGGTGGAGGATTGGGGTTGGAGAGACGAAGGTGATTAACCTCGAACAATGGTGGATATAGTCACTGGTACAAGGTCACAAAGAGGGAGTGAAATTATGAGCGGGAAGGTGAATTTGGGAGGACTGTCAGCATGAAGAACACAAAATTTTGGAGGATTATCAGTGCGAAGAAGATGAAAGTTGGGAGGGTAACAGAGAGGGAGTGAAAATTAGATACTAATTAGAATAATTAAAAAAAATAAAAAATTAAATTAAATAATAAAAAAGTAAATTAAATAATAAAGTGGCTGAAATAGTAACCGATTTATTGTGACCGAAAATTTAGTTACTATTTCAGTTACTAAATTAAAAAATAATAATTTGGTTACTGATTCAGTCACTAATAGTAACTAACTTTTTCAGTCACTGATTTCGGTTACTATTTGACATTTTTCTAGTAGTGAGCAGGGGGACCATCTAGTTCTTCCTCACCACTACTTTCCTCAACTTTGTTTTTGAACCTCGACAAACCACATGTCGGACACATCTTTAATTTAGCAAAATCATTTCTGTACAATATACAATCATTAGGACATGCATGTATTTTCTTGTACTCTAAACCCATTGGGCATAATATCTTCTTTGCCTCATAGTTACGAATAGGTAATGTATTATCTTCAGGAAGCATCTCCTTCAACAACTCCAATAATTCGGTGAAACTTTTATCAGTCCATCCATTTCTTGCTTTTAAATTAAACAATTTTAAAGTTGCTGATAATCTTGTAAAACTACATCCTATGTACAATTGTTGCGCAAAATCAGATTTCAAAGAATCATATAGATGTGCTTTCAGAAAATTTTCTTCATCAATATCACGTATCATATCCTCTAGATTATCATCCATCCCTTCATCAAAATTGTCTGTAGTTGACACCGTTGGGATGTCTAATATTTCTCCATGACATGTCCATATTGTATAACTCTTAATAATACCATAAACAAACAAGTGATCACGTATATCCTCAAGTTTATGACGAATTTGATTCAAACAACGAACACATGGACAATAATATGTCCCTTTCATAGCTTTTCCATTTTCACTAACAAATTTCAAAAATTCCTCAACTCCCTTTTCGTACTCTTCACTAATACGACGTACATTCATCCAACTTCGATTCATATTATGTTATAAAGTTTCGTCACTCCTAGAGATTTAAAAATTATATGTAAAAAGAAATTAATATACAAACAACAAAGCACGTTCCAACAACAATGGAGTGTGTAAACCGAATGCACTCAAACAAATAAACAAATAATTACATTCCAATAACAATTCAGTGGAGACATTCATACTATAACGTGATTGAGATCCCCAAAAACAATCACGGATTCAATGTAAACATATAGCAATGACATAGAACACTAACCTCGAGTGTAGACGAAAAATGATTTCAAACTCGAATCCAATCGGGGAGAAATATAAAGTTCGTCAAATGACACACAATGTAGATGTTTTTCACTGTAAAACTGATCGAAAATGGTGTGCAGAGGTAGCTGTTGTCGTCGTTATCGTCGTTGTTCTCAAAAACCCTGGTTGCGCGAGACGAGAGAGTGTGCCAGGGAGGGAATAAAAGAGACTTTTTACGTCGCGCATCCCAGAACGCGACGTAAAAGGCCCTCTTTTATGTCGCACCTGGGTGGCGCGACGTAAAAGGAGGCCTTTTACGTCGTGTGCTGGGGTGTGCGACGTAAAAGTTTTGTCCCTTATTTACAAAATTGTCACCGCGTTTTATTTACGTCGAATATTTTTACATGCGACGACAATTGGGTGACGTAAAAGTCATTTTCTACACTAGTGATAACCATGCAATGGTAATCCCAACAACAGTAACCATAATGCGTCAGGTTCATATTAAAATCTTACATATTAGGCTAAACATGAATACTACCATCAAGCGTTTTTTACACGACAATTTTTTTCATTGGATTATTAGTAACTATTCCACTAAAAACAAAAAGAAGTTTATGTAACAATCATAAGGCTAAGAGGGGAACCATACCTTAAAAGCTAGCTCAAGAGGTTGGAGAACCTCCTACCTTATAAGGTCTCCCTGATAAGGAAATTTTCCTAATGTGGGACTTGTTATAATACCATCCCGTTCGAAAGTCAGCGTTCTCGATGACTGCATTCCACGACACTTCACTCACTGGCACTTTACTCAGTTTTCTTACCGGTCAGAACCCTCCGTGGTAGCCCTTCTCAAGATGATTGACTCTCAGCACCAATGTAACAACCAGGTGGGGTTTTTTTATTCACAAAATATGCGATTATGGCTCCAATTGCCTTTCTCTTCGATGATGTCTATGTCTATGTTGACGCAACTTTATCCATTTAATATGGATACAATTCTTAAAGATAAATTCTATGTCATCTTCGTTGTTTTTTACTTTTATTATTGATGGAGTTTGTTTGCTATTAGACTTTAGAATGTTTAGGTTTAAAAATTAATTTCTATTTTCCACTTGGTACAATTACAAGAATATGAACAGTTTTAAGTGATTTTTTTATTCTCCTTCAAGTAATAAATTTAAATCAAATAGTAGAATAAACAAAATAATTATGTCGAAGTTTAGTCCAACGTAAAAAATTTAAAATAATATATATATAAAAAAAAAAGTCTTTTCAATACTAATATACAAAACAGGCCAAATATGAAAAAAAAACACCTTTATTAAAAACTATATATATATATATATATATATATATATATATATATATATATATATATATATATATATATGAAGTTAAAGAAACAAGTGAATAAACTCTTCACTTCGATCAGAGCTATTCATAGTAAGTTCTTCATTCAATATTTGGTTTTTTGCCATTTTTTCTCTGGAGTTACAACTGAACTGAGTTAATCAGGGGAAACTACAACACCCTCACAGAGAATTCATTGCCACCTTGGATGTGTTTGCTATCATTAATTCATTATTTAGAGTTATCTTCAACGTATGCAATGTCGATGGGGTCTACACTCTACGGCAAAACGCTTTCATTAAGGGGGAGTAGGGGCCTGGGGACAAGTCTGTGACTGCAATACTGCATGATTGCATGCATGGATCAGTCTCAGTTCAATACGTTCATACCAGTCCAGAACACAATGCATCATGTTTGTGAAAATGAAAATACAAAAAAAAAAAAAAGAAGAAAAAACAACCTTGTTATAAAAACAATGTAATGTTAAGTCAAGAAACAAGTGAATCAGTTCTTGAGTGAGAATTGTGAGAAGGTTATTCAGCAATTTTTTCTCTATAGTTCCCACTGAACTGAATTAATCAATGGAAAACCACAATACATATACAGAGGTGTCAATAATACCGAGTCATCAATGACAAAAATTGAGGATAACAGAGGTGTGAACTGATACATTTAACTTACGTCAATTGTTCTCTTGTTGTGCGCAATATTAACCTAGCGTATGTTTAAACGCAAGAAAGCTAACTGAAAAAAAATGCAGGGAAATAGAAAGAGAGCGGAACCCTCTTCTTTCCTTTCGTTTGATTCTCTAGCAAATGAGAAATAATGATTAAAAAGTTATCAATATTTAGGATATATATATATATATATATATATATATATATATATATATATATATATATATATAGATATATATTTTATTTATTTATTTATTTGTTTTTGTACATCAATTTTTTACTAAAAGAAAAGTGAAAAAGGTATTTTTTTATACATTAATTAGCGAAAATATTTATTTTTTCATATTTTTAGCAACATTTATATATTTTATATACATATTAAAAGTATTCCTCTTATTTATTATCTATTAAATAACCTACAAATCCGCTCTATTTGTTTTTCGTAAACCAAACACATCTAATCCCTAACTATAAAAGGTCAAGTTTTATAATAACTTATTGATACTGAAATTATATCATTTTTTTTAAATGTTTTTGTTTTTAATTACAGAAATTAAGTGTTTTAAAATTTATATAAAAAATAAACTGCTTTTTTCCTCATTGTTTCCTATATATATATATATTTAAAAGAAATAAATGTTGTGAAAATAAATACTTTTCATTAGAAATTAAAATAGAAAATGTCTTTTCTTTAGTCACTTTCTTCAAATTTATCTCATATTCTGCTTTTGGGATTAAAATAACATTATTCCCCCACCTCAATTTTTTCCTTTAAATAGAAAATTGTGCATCATCTATTTAATTAGTTAAATTTAACTAAAAAATAAAACATGAAAATTAAATGGTAAGATGATTTTTTTATTAAAGGATAAGAATAAATACCAACTATAGAGAAAGGTAATAATTTCGAATGTCTACTCATTTTGATAATTACATAGTTAATGGAGTAATTCCCTACATTCTTGTCTTACAACTCTAAATTTGCTTAGTTTTTCTTTTTATTATTTTTTAATAGAAACGCTTTCTAGTTTAATCAACTAAGATTCCCAGAAGCCAATAAATAAAAATAAAAACTGAGATTCTCATAAACATGATTTTCAAGCAAGTTGCACCCAAATCTTTCATCCCCAGAAGAAGTTTTTGACGCGATCGATGAAGCTTCGCTTTTATTAATTGCAACAAGTGATGAAAATCAATGACCTAGAGAATATAATGAACCATCTACATACACATGTTCATGCAGTAGAGAAAGGTTCAGTAATCAACGATAACTAGAAATTAGAACTTTCTACACACTTGCATGTGATGCAGAGGAATCAATGGCATTTGAATCTCACATCGTGCTTCTGGATGTTCTCTGACCCTCGAGAATCTTCTGTAATTCTTGAGGTTGACAAGGGATTGCAAGAGCTCCCTCTTGCCCGAAACCAAACTCTTCTTCAGCTTGATCCAACAATCCTAAGAATGCAGGATCATTCAAGTAATGTAAGCCAACAACGAACCTTTTGCATTCTCCACCCTTGGTTGCAAGAACAGCAAAATAACCTTCCCTAACGTCATCTGGCACCACACATGTGGCTTCACTGTTGTACCTCAACGGTGGTCTTCTGTGTACAAAGAGTGAGAGACCCTTCTCTATCTTCCCAACAAACGTCCTAAGCATCTTGACCTGAACTTGTAAAATTTGAAAGGTTTGAACTTGTGGCCTCTGTAAGATACAATGAAGAAACACGAAAACCTTGATTATTTGTAGGTGAGAGCAGAAGGCACTAGACTAGTAGTGGCAAGTGGGTGCAGCCACAGAGTGTATTGATTTGCATTATGTGATGAATTTCTTTCTTCTCAAACGCGCTAAGCAGACTTTGTCGTTGAGGTAGAGCCAAGATTTTGTTGTCGCTAAATATTTTACTGTGTAATATATTTGGCTGTCCTATAAAATCCAACTATTTGATCTTCCATTGAAGTGAAGGTTTCTACTTGGTTCTAACCTACTCCTACTTCAATCCTAAATGATTGATTCTTCGTAATGTTTTTGATAGTTTTTAATTTTTTTTTTAATGAAATGAAAATTATATGATCACTGTAATGTTTTTAAAACCATCACTGATCATTGAAATGACAAGGGCATAAATTTAAAATTTAAAAGTTGAATATAAATTCAATCAAATTTAATAAAATAATATTTTATAATTATAATAAAAAATATAATAAATTTATTAAGAACAACAAATTATTTATGTTTATTTTCTTTTCTCCAAACACATATTTTTATCTTCCAATGCAAGATGTTGATTGATTTGAAGGAACAATCTTCCAAACCAAGTGGGCAGTGGAGTCTCTGATTTGCAATATATGTTAGGTGGGATGTAATTCTTGTTTTGTTAAGGATGTTTGGACAGGACAAATAGACGGTTTGTGTTAGCATGGGGCTTTAGGTGCAACTTTTAAATATTTTAAACAATGTTGCTACATATTCTACCCTTATTTGATATCTATTAAATTAAAATATATAAAAGAAAAAACATAAATGAAATAAATCATGCATAAAAATAGAAAACAAAATTATAAATTAGTATGGAATGTTTAGGAAACAAAAGAATGGTCATATATCATTTGATATTCTTTCCATTGTACTTATTTTTTAATTCATGAAACCTATCTACCATAATTCGGAAATTAAGTTTAATTATTGAAATTTCACTTCATATGAAATTGTCAGAACTATGAGATTTTGCTTTATTTAAAATTGTTATTTTAGTCTCAACATTATATACATAACTGTTTGTTTTATATAAATTATATTTAAATGAAATTAACAATAATAAATATTTTCAAATCTATAGTCTATATTTTCAATTTATTATAAAATTATTATTTACATTGTGATATAAAGTAATTTTTTTATTTTTAAAATATTAAAATCTAAATTAGAGTTTAAGATATTGAAAATAAAATGTTAAAATATATAAGAGATGAAGAAAAAAATATCAAAATTTTATTTTCATAATCACAACCAAAAAACACTATTATTTATATGCAAATATATTGTAAAGAAGATAAAAAAAGAAAAGAAAAAAGAAATGAAGTATATATTTATTTAATTGAAGAGAAAGAAGGCATATATAAGAAGAGAGGAATATAAATATGTAATAAATAATAATTAGAAAAGAATATTATTACTAATATTAATTATTAATAATGTAATCACTTTTCATATTTTAGTTGGTCTCATTCTTAATAAAATGTTGAATCAAATTCTCTAATTATTAATAATGTAATCACTTTTCATTCAATTAGCAATAAAATAGTTCATAATTAAGAGTTTTAGAATACAATTATATCAACATCTGACAATTTATAAAACTAATGAAATGTCTTTAACAAACAAAAGTGTCGTTGTATTTAAAATTCATAATTATTTTTATAGATAAAAGATCCATATATAATTTCATTAATCATTAAATTAAATTATTTATTTTTAATAATAAGACAATAAATTATCACAATAACAACTTCTATTCTAATTTATATAAATTTAAGATTACGAACAGGAAATATAAAAAAAAAACAATAATAATAATATTTATTATTATTTATTTTTATCAGAATTGTAAATGAATATATATATATATATATATATATAAATTAAAATTCACTTTTACTGTAATTACCTATTAATATTTGAATAATTCTATTTATAGAAATAAAAACAAATCATCATGATCATAATTAAATAAATACTATAAATATTATATTTTGATTATTTTAATAGTAAATATTCTGTTAATGTTTTGAATTTAAATTTATTTAATTAAGTAAATATTCTATTAATTTCCATTATCAATTCATCTTCTATTTAAAATTCAAATACTGTATAAAAATATCAATTTCTATTATGTAAAATATTTTTTAGTATATTATATATATATATATATATATATATATATATTTAATATCAGTAAACATACTAATCTAAATATTCTCACAATAATTAAATATAATAAGATATTTTACTTCAATTCTGAACATATTTTTTACTTCAATTTTTTTCAAGTGGTGGGTGAAGATAGAAATCAAATGCTACTGAAAATAAAAGGGAGTGTCAGCTGAGTAAAAGGCTTTGTGATTGAGGCCGAATCCACGTTGGAGTATTAACCCGTGCTATGTTTTTGTGATTTTTTATTTTCATTTATCCAACAAGTTTCATTCTGTATCTTAATACGTGGTTGTGTCTAACGGGTGTAAACTTGGATATATGAGCCAGGTTAAAAAAATATAATATAATTTAAATTAAATTTGTTTTCATACAACTCATTTAAAATATGATATACATGAAATTAAATTATATTTATCTATATAAACTTATCAATAATAGAATAATAACTACATTTTAAATAAAAATAAAAATAATAACTACATTTTAAATAATATATATATATATATATATATATATATATATATATATATAATTTTTTATGTATTTTTTTAAAAAAATATTTTTAATTTTATGAATAATTTTAAAATTTTATTTATTAATTAATATTTTTATTAGATAAATTGAAAAAAGTATAATATTTATTTATTGAAATATTCAATTATAAATAATATTTATGTATTAAAAAATTATAATAATTTAAATTTTATTGGTTAATATTTATAATTTAAATTATAATATTATAATATATTTAACTATTTCAATAATATAACATAAAAATATAATATTTTAAATTATAATTCTAATTATTTTAATTTTAATATATAAATATTTTTAAAAAATAAGTTAAGGATCAATCTATCCTATCCGGTCATTGACCGATAGATTAGATAAATAAACCCAAATAAATTGTGGAACTAAAATTGTGAACCCAATTCATTAATTTTGAGATAAATTAATAGATGAATTAATAAGACCTAACATGTTTTATTATTCATAATTTTAACTGTTATTATTTCGTGACTAAATTTTAATTTTATTAATATAATTTTAATTTTAAAAATATTTTTATTTTTAATTTATGTTAAACGTTTTTAATTAATTATTTTATATAAATATGTTTATAATATTTTTTATTTTTTTTAATTAAGTTAAAATTGGTTTATTAATTATTTATCTAACATAAAGTCAAACTAAATAAAAATTATAATTTATTTTAAAATATAGGTGACACTGATTATAATTTTCTTTATTTAACTAGGAAGACTTTTTTGTCAGTCCTATGTGTGGGATGATGCATTTCCAATCACAGCTGTATGGCTGACAATCTCATAGGAACCAAGAGTAGCACCGTCATGTGTCTTGCCCAAAAATCAATTGAATTGAATTAAATTCTATAGAATACGTAGTGAGATTTAGTGATCTTCAAAGCTTATTGCAATGGTGGAGGTAAGTAACATTGAAATGGAGATTTATATTGACAAGCAAGCACCATAAATTGGAAAAGCATTGGTTGCTTGTTGGTTCAGAAACAAGCCACTTAATGCAACATTTTAAGGTCTTTTTCATCCTTCTCACTCTCCAAACGCGTGTACTATACATCGGTATATCGTCGGTACAATGAATCAGATCAACTATTCTGATTTAAGTATTTTTTTTCTTTTTCTTGGTTCTCTGTTTAAACTTTGTTACTTCTGCAAACTGGTCACACTTTCTGCTTCTTTACGTGAGCGAACCATTCACAAGAGGTATCATATTGTTTTTTATATAGAATTTGAACATTTTTTTTTAATTTTATGATAAAAAATTTTACCATTTAAAATTAGAGAAATATCAAGAAATAGTAAGTAATCAAGATGCCAAATTATACAAAATTAGGTAATCCAAAGCAAAAATAATACTAAAATAATTAAATGATATAATAGAGTAAATAAAATCTGAACACAATGAATTAAAAACAATTAGATGTAAACACAAAGTAAAACAAGTTGGAGAATAAAAAATCTTTATATAAATTAAAGATAAATAAAAGCACATAATAATTATATATATAATAATAGATCTTTATGATTAATTTTGAGACCAAATAATATATTAATAATAAATAATAAATATATATAAAAGATAAAAGAAAATAAAAGAATAAAATTATAAATATATAAACAAATATATTAAATGATACCAAAATTATAAATTGTATATAAGAGTTATAAAACTTTACAAAAAGAGAGACAATAAAAAAATCCACCAAAATATATATATATATATATATATATATAAAGTTGATTTATTTAAAAAATAATAAAATTGATTAATAATTTTAGTTTATCACTTTGTTTTATCAATTTTATCTAATTATTAAATGTAAAATAAGACGAATTTAAAATGAAAATAGGAAAAAATAATTAAAATATATATAAATTTATACTAATATAGATAATTTTGATAAAAAAATGTCAAATACAATTATAACTAAGTACATTTTTTCTTATACCATATCATTTGAATTATATATTTATTATATTAATAATTAATATTTATTTATTATATTAAAAATTATTTTTTGTCGAATAATATGATTGATCGAACAATTTATCTAACTCTGTCTGCAGCCAATAATGTATTTTCTTTTCAAATTAAAAATTACAAAAAAAAATTGTTCTTTACTAATATACTACTTTTAACTTGAATTCGTTTATTATTTGAGTATAGTTTTTCTTATCTTATTGATTATAAAAAAGACAAGCACATTTTTTATCAAGTAAAAAATATACTTTAAGTTACTATCATAAGGTTAATATATATTAATAGATTGCAATTACTTAAATTATTATTTAACATGAAATGAATATAACACATTAAGAAAGAAAATTCATAATGAAAAGATTGACATCTCTGACCATATCTCATACTTTAATTTAATAAAAAGAAAAAATATAACAATTTCAATCTATCATAAAAAATGATAAAATAATATACAAAATTATTATATAATTATAAATCTTTTTTTTTTTTAAGAATTTATGAACCCCTTTTAATCATGACGCCTATTGAAATATTATGCGTGGTTTAGTTCCGGACCTTAAGAGTAAGGGGGAGCATTGAAGGCCTTACAAAGTCCACTTCCTCTACCTCTTCATGCACCTCCCTACCTTTTTTTTTTTTTTTTTTTTCTTTTCTACGTCTTATATATATTTGAAAAAAAATTAATAATATTCTTAATTTTATAGAATAAGTAATCTGAAATATATTATAGAATATTTTAATTTAAAAATATTTTAAAAATATTTTTTTAAAAGTTCTAAATTGAAATTTAAAATATAATTTTCCTATTGTAGAAAGATTAATTGAAAAAATTAAATCCATAAATAAATTTCACATGTATTATTTAAGTTTTAAATTCATTTATTTAAAATATTTTTAGAATGAGCTTTCTAAAAATATTTGAGAACTATCTTTCCAAATTTTTTTATTAGGTTTTCATAATGTTGATTTTAAAGTGTTTTTGTAAAACTTTCAGAAGATCGTTTCAAAATAGTAAATCCATAACTTATTTATATTAAGAAAAATTTTATATTTTTAAATAAATACGAGATACAAATAAAAATGTTTAGAGATAAAACAAAACTCCAATAAAATTAGAATTTTTTTTTAATAAAAGTTAGGGAATAATAATTCAATGCCATACATAAATATCCGTACACCAGTTTTTAGTTCGCCCTACTATATTCTCTCTGTTACAAAGACCCAACAATATCTACAAACACTTCTTCAGCCTAAAGCAAAAAGCTTAACTAAAACATAATTAGAAAAAAAAGTAAAACCTCTTATACTCTATCATAAGAACTTAGGAACATAAATATCCCTTCCTGCACCTTTGATGCTGTCTGGTCTCATTCTCCAACCATCTAGAATCTTCTGCAATTCCTGAGGTCTACAAGGGACTACAAGAGTTCCCTGCTGCTTGAAACCATACTCTTCTCCAGCTTGATCCAAGAGTCCCAAGAATTCAGGATGAGTCAAGTAATCCAGCTCAACAACAAACCTTTTAATTTCTCCATCTTTGATTGCAATAACAGCAAAATACCCTTTACTAACGTCACCTGGCATATCATTTGTGGTCCCCAATTGATTTTCTTTCATGTAGTTAAGTGTAGGCTTTCCAGGTCCAATCTGTGAGACACCCTTTTGAATCTTCCCAACAAAAGACCTAATCATCTTGAAATCTGGTGCTGAGAGTGATGATTTCTTCCTGGTATTGGAACTTGAGAGCGTGAAGTTTGATCTTGGAGTGTGTGTAAGGAGGAATTGGATATTTATATCGAGATAAGGAGGAAACACACAGGAAGTTTCTCGGGAGGAATAGCATTGATTATTGCATTATTTGACTGACACGTGGCTGATCAAAATCTTTGATTATAAAATAAAAATCGTGATGGGGAAGAAAATATAATATTGCTGGGTTTCAGTTTCATCAAGCAACCCTCTTTCTTCTTGGAGTTGATGGTCACGTTGAAATAATAGAGATATTAAGAAAGGTAAAAGTAGGTTTAATTTAATTCTTTTTAATAATTAAAAACACGTTTTTGATAAAACAAACTAAAAACATGAGTTTTACATGAAGTAAAACTAAATAATATATTTTTAAGCAAATTATTTAAATAATTATTTATTATTTATACAAAAAATTCGATAATGAAAATTAAAATTCTCACAACAAATTTATTATTGAATCTTAGATATAGATTTATAAAATATATTATTTTAAAAAAGTATGTAGATCTCTTACATGGAGATCGAGTTCTTGTATCATAACTATCAAGTTTTATATATAATAAATAATAAATTAGTTTTTAAATTTTGAAGTTACTCAAATAAGATCAATCATTAAATAAAATAATAATAAAATCTTCTTTCTATTTAGGATAAAAAATAATATAATATTTTAAAATAAGATTTATTACTAAAAATATTTCTTTGAGAATAAGTAAAATAATATTTAGGATTACTTAAAATAATTTTTTTCATTTAATAAATCTTATATGATATATTTTTTATATAATAGGGTTTTTTTATATAAGGCATATTTTTTTATTCATTCATAATACACAACCTCACTAATTTTACTTTTGTTTCTACAGAAGATAATTATATTAACATTTTTTTTATTAACTAACAGAAGGTAATTTTACTTTTGTTTCTTATTACCTTGTATTTTTTTTATTATTTTCACGTTATTTTAATTTGGAATAAAAATATTATAAGATTTACTATAAGATTATTAATAAACACACAATAAATAATATATGTATATTGAAAGTAGAAATAAAAACAATTAAAATTAAAAATACACTAAACATATATTTTAACAATAAAAAAAATAAAATTCATAAAAATTACACCATGAGCATATTTAATTCTATCATTTATAATATCTTTAACTAATAATTTTTTCAAAGTTATCTTGATAACTTCTAACAACCAAATTGCAGCTACTAACAAATTTTACAGTTATTTTTCCGTGAAACATGGCTTAAAGAAATTTAAGATAATTACATTAAGAAAAATAAAATCTTAACTCCATTTGTAAAGGTATGTGATAAGTACTTTAGAGGGAATTAGGGTATGAAATTGATTGCAAGTGGAGGCAGGGTGGTGTGTGAATTATTAGAACGAGCGAATTCGGATTTATGCAGATGAAACTGAAACAGATTTGAGACATTGAAGCAATTGAATAAGCAGTGGAATGAAATTTATTTGAATTGCCCTGTTTATTTGGCGGCAGTAGGTGATAGGATTTGGTACATGTTTCACTGTATAATTTCTGATAAGTTGACTAATAATTATTCTTTAAGAATTAAGGAGGAGTTTTGACGAAGAGTAAATATTAGATTTCTAAGAGTGATATATAAATAAATTTAACATAAAACATAAACACTTGTTACTCGTTTGATTTAGTTTTTAAAAATAATTTTAGTAAATAATTTTAAAAATTATTTTTGAAAATAAGTTAAAAAAATTGATAATTATAAATTAAAAAGTGTTGTAAGAATAAGAAAATGAAAAAAAAAATAATCTTTTTAAAATTCAATTGTATTGTATAAAACTTTGCTTATTAGAGACAATGCGAATATTATGTATATAAAGACATATTTGTAACACATAAAACTTGATCATATAAGTGAAAAATGGTTAATTATATTAACTGAAAATGATGTGTTTTTGAAATTAAATAATTTAGAGTTGGAGAAATGTTTTCTAAACAAACCATGATATTATTCAAGAAGCATCATTCCTCAATGAAGTCAAAGTTAATTGAATTTGTGTATTATCATATTTGTGACACATTAAAGGTAAAATAATTTAGTAATGTATTTTACTTTATTACTTTTATTAATGATTATTCCAAGAAACAATGAATTTATGCACTATAGAGAAAATATCAAGTAAGTTCAAATAGTTTTATGCTTTTTGAGAGACAATCATGAAAGAAGTTGAAATGCATTCATATTAATATAGTGATAAGTATCGTAGATCATTTGATGTCTTTTGCAAGTTGTAGGGTATATCACACATGAAAGACTCCTCCTAAGACTCCTCGATTGAATGGTCTAATAAGAAGATGAATAGGACTTTGGTTAGATGTACATTTTTTGAAGCAAAATTGCCTAAACATTTTTTTGGGAGAGATATTGCTTACAGTCGTTCATGTTATTAATCTTAATCTTACGATTACTTTGAATACTTGAGGTTCCAAACAACATATGATTTGACAAGAATGTTAACTACGATCATTTACGTGTCTTTGGTTGTAGGACATTTGTTTATATTCTAAACGATGAAAGATCAAAGTCAAAGACAAGACAATGTACCTTTATTGGTTATGGTTAAGATGAATTTGACTATATGTTGTATGATCTTGTTGAGAAAAAGTTAGTTAAAATTCATGATGTGTAGTTCATGGAAGAACAAACCATTAAAGATGTTAACAAGGTGGAGAAGATTACACCTAATAAAGATAGTAATTTCATTGGTCGTAATCAGATGTGATTGCCTATTCACAAATTGAATCTGTTGAGGTTGATGCTCAAAATGATGAGCAACGTGGTAATGTTGATGATCAACAAGTTGGAGATGCAGTAGAGGTTCCAATTGATGATATTCAAGAGGAACATGATATGTTACATGATGATGATCTTGGTGATACACTTGAATTACCATAAGTCCCTACCGTGAGGTTTAATAGGCCGAGAACCATCTTCTAAGTATATATCCTTTTGATGAATATGTAACATTCACTGATGATGGAGAACCTGACTGTTTTTAAGAAAGTTTAGAAAGTAAAGAAAAATAAAAGAGACTAAATGCAATGTTAAATGGGATGAAATCTTATAATTACACTTATGACTCAATAAAATTGCTTAAGGTCAAAAAGACTTTAGAGAATCTATGAATTTTTACGGTGAAGTAAGAGATTAATTCTATATCTCCAATGTACAAAGCCAAGTTAGTGATGAAAGACTTTAGATAGAGATGAGTGTTTTCAATGAGATTTTCTTGTCTGTGCTAAAAATGTCATCTGAAATATGTTAAGTTTTGTTGTTACCCTTGACTTGGAGGTCAACAAATGAATGTGAAGACAACTTTCCTTTGTGATAATTTAGAGGAAGAGATTTAATAAAACTATCTGATGGTTTTCTTATTAAAGGCAAGGAAGATTATGTGTGCAGGCTGAAAAATAGTGTATATGATTTGAAATAGACTTCAAGATAGTGGTACAAAAAGTTTGAGTATTTTATTATGATCAATATTACACAACTACTACTTTTGATCATTGTGTGCTTGTTAGAAAGTTTTTTTATGATGACTTTATTATTTGGTTGTTATATGTTCATGACATATATATATTATTAAGAAACACTGTCAAAATTGATAAGTTAAAAAAGCAACACTAGTGCAAAAAGGGGCTTTTACGTCAAGTATTTAGGGCTTTTTACGTCGTATTTAAGACTGACGTTAAAACGAGAGACGTAAATTTATGTCGGACCCTTTAGCCCGACGTAAATTTACGTCAGTTATCAAGACCCGACGTAAATTTGCGTTGCATATACCACTAAACAGACGTAAAAACTTTCAAAAATTAAAAAAAAAACAGCAAATTTACGTCGCATATTGGTATACGCGACGTAAATTTACGTCACATATACCAATATGCGGCGTAAATTTACGTTGCATATACCAATACGCGATGTAAATTTCCATAAGGATTCATCCCATCTGTAGCTAATCCAATTCTCAAGTTTCTTGGCTCTGCACCAAATTCTGGAAAGGTTTTATCAATCCTTTTCCATTGTGGAGAATCAGCTGGATGTCGAAGAAGATTGTCACATTTTCTACCATTTGCATGCCATGTCAAGTTTCTTGCATCTTCTTTTATGGCAAATAATCTTTTAAACCTAGGTATAATTGACAAATACCATAACACCTTAGCAGGGGGACCATCTAGTTCTTCCTCACCACTACTTTCCTCAACTTTGTTTTTGAACCTCGACAAACCACATGTCGGACACAACTTTAATTTAGAAAAATCGTTTCTATACAATATACAATCATTAGGACATGCATGTATCTTCTTGTACTCTAAACCCATTGGACATAATATTTTCTTTGCCTCATAGTTACGAATAGGTAATGTATTATCTTCAGGAAGCATCTCCTTCAACAACTCCAATAATTCGGTGAAACTTTTATCAGTCCATCCATTTCTTGCTTTTAAAGTAAACAATTTTAAAGTTGCTGATAATCTTGTAAAACTACATCCTATGTACAATTGTTGCGCAAAATCAGATTTCAAAGAATTATATAGATGTGCTTTCATAAAATTTTCTTGACCAATATCACGTATCATATCCTCTAGATTATCATCCATCCCTTCATCAAAATTGTCTGTAGTTGACACAGTTGAGATGTCTAATATTTCTCCATGACATGTCCATATTATATAACTCTTAATAATACCATAAACAAACAAGTGATCACGTATATCCTCAAGTTTATGACGAATTTGATTCAAACAACGAACACATGGACAATAATATGTCCCTTTCATAACTTTTCCATTTTCACTAGCAAATTTCAAAAATTCATCAACTCCCTTTTCGCACTCTTCACTAATACGACGTGCATTCATCCAACTTCGTTTCATATTATGTTATAAA